CTTAAACCAAGGTTAAACGTTTAACAACATAAAATAAAAAATAATTAAACATGCAAACTGTAGAAAAAAAAACTAACAATTAGAAACAAATTTTATAATTGAAAAATCACAATAATTAATGTCATGCATTTGTACAATAGAACAAAAAAGTGTAAATATGCTAATAACCTGGGGTCCAGTAGAAAAAAAAACTTGTTTGTTTATTTAAATGTTTAAATATAAAAACATTTTATTTAAATTTATTGTTATTTCTATTACAGTCAACAAACATGTTTCGTTTTATGGTAATTGCTTTGTGTTTGGCTGTTCCTGTGTTGGGTAACTCAGCTGGCGCTCCTGCTGCTATTTGCAAAAATGGTCTAACACCTGAACATCATGTTGAGCCACAATCCAGTCAAGTGCCTTATAGCTTTTCGGGTGGTAATTCTGTTAAAGCTGGCGATAAGATCACTTTAACTTTGGGTGGTGGTGAATTCTTGGGTTTCGCTTTACAGGCTCAAGATGCTAAGGAACATCCCGTGGGTACTTTCAAAGTTATTGAGACCAATAAGTCACAATTGTTGACCTGCTCAGCTGCTGGGGTAAGTGGTTCATTCTGATATCCTATTATATATTTTACAACTAAACTTGTGTTTTTCTTTTAGGACACCTTAACCCATGTCCAATTGAACAGTAAACCCATTACTAGCGTAGAATTCCAATGGATTGCCCCTGCCGATTATAGTGGTGCTGTTAAATTCGTTGGTACCGTTGCCAAGAATGGTGGCACCTATTGGATCCGCAAGGTCATTAAGGAAGTTACTGTACAATAATTGTATTATTTTTAATGGTGGGGTGTAGTGCGTTGAAATTTTATTTATTTTTTTAATGCACTTGAAACAAACAAATGTATTTTATTCGTATTTCGAAATTATGTGATAAATTGTTAATAAACTTTATTTTTTAATGCAAATATTTGGCATTGTAAAAAAAAGACCGAAAGAAAATTTGTTTAATTTTAAAAAATTTGGTTTAGTTTAAGTTCCATTCTATTTTAGTTCTGTTCCAGTGCTGTTCTAGTTCCGTTCTAGTTCCGTTCTAGTTCTCTTCTAGTTCTGTTCTAGTTCTGTTCTAGTTCTGTTCTAGTTCTGTTCTAGTTCTGTTCTAGTTCTGTTCTAGTTCTGTTCTAGTTCTGTTCTAGTTCTGTTCTAGTTCTGTTCTAGTTCTGTTCTAGTTCTGTTCTAGTTCTGTTCTAGTTCTGTTCTAGTTATGTTCTAGTTCTGTTCTAGTTTAGTTCTAGTTCAATTCTAGTTCAGTTCTAGTGCAATTCTAGTTCAGTTGAGTTCTAGTTTAGTTCTACTTCAGTTCTAGTTCAGTTTTAGTTCAGTTCTAGTTCAGTTCTAGTTCTGTTCTAGTTCTGTTCTAGTTCTATTCAAGTTCTCTTCTAGTTCTGTTCTACTTCTGTTCTAGTTCTGTTCTAGTTCTGTTCTAGTTCTGTTCTAGTCCTGTTCTAGTCCTGTTCTAGTTCGGTTCTAGTTCAGTTCTAGTTCAGTTCTAGTTCAGTTCTAGTTCAGTTCTAGTTCAGTTCTAGTTCAGTTCTAGTTCAGTTCTAGTTCAGTTCTAGTTCAGTTCTAGTTCAGTTCTAGTTCAGTTCTAGTTCAGTTCTAGTTCAGTTCTAGTTCAGTTCTAGTTCAGTTCTAGTTCAGTTCTAGTTCAGTTCTAGTTCAGTTCTAGTTCAGTTCTAGTTCAGTTCTAGTTCAGTTCTAGTTCAATTCTAGATCAGTTCTAGTTCAATTCCAGTTCAGTTCTAGTTCAGTTCTAGTCCAGTTCTAGTTCAGTTCTAGTTCAGTTCTAGTTCAGTTTTATTCTAGTTCTAGTTCAGTTCGAATTCAGTTCTAGTTCAGTTCTAGTTCAGTTCTAGTTCAGTTCTAGTTCAGTTCTAGTTCAGTTCTAGTTCAGTTCCAGTTCAGTTTTAGCCTAGTTCAGTTCTAGTTCAGTTCTAGTTCTAGTTCAGTTCTAGTTCTAGTTCAGTTCTAGTTCTAGTTCAGTTCTAGTTCAGTTCTAGTTCAGTTCTAGTTCAGTTCTAGTTCAGTTCTAGTTCAGTTATAGTTCAGTTCTAGTTCAGTTTTATTCTAGTTCTAGTTCAGTTCTAGTTCGGTTCTAGTTCAGTTCTAGTTCAGTTCTAGTTCAGTTCTAGTTCAGTTCTAGTTCAGTTCTAGTTCAGTTCTAGTTCAGTTCAGTTCTAGTTCAGTTCTAGTTCTAGTTCAGTTCAGTTTTAGTCTAGTTCAGTTCTATTTCAGTTCTGGCTCAGTTCTAGTTCAGTTCTAGATCAGTTCTAGTTCAATTCCAGTTCAGTTCTAGTTTATTTCTAGTTCTGTTCTAGTTCTCTTCTAGTTCTGTTCTAGTTCTGTTCTAGTTCGGTTCTAGTTCTAGTTCAGTTCTAGTTCAGTTCTAGTTCAGTTCTAGTTCTAGTTCAGTTCTAGTTCAGTTCTAGTTCAGTTCTAGTTCAGTTCTAGTTCAGTTCTAGTTGAGTTCTATTTCAGTTCTAGTTCAGTTCTAGTTCAGTTTTAGTCTAGTTCTGTTCTATTTCAGTTCTAGTTCAGTTCTAGATCAGTTCTAGTTCAATTCCAGTTCAATTCTAGTTTATTTCTAGTTCTAGTTCAGTTCTAGTTCAATTCTAGTTCAGTTCTAGTTCAGTTCTAGTTCAGTTCTAGTTCAGTTCTAGTTCAGTTCTAGTTCAGTTCTAGTTCAGTTCTAGTTCAGTTCTAGTTCAGTTCTAGTCTAGTTCTAGTTCAGTTCTATGTCAGTTCTGTCTCAGTTCTAGTTCTGTTCTAGTTCAGTTCTAGTTCAGTTCTAGGTCAGTTCTAGTTCAGTTCTAGTTCAGTTCTAGTTCAGTTCTAGTTCAGTTCTAGTTCAGTTCTAGTTCAGTTCTAGTTCAGTTCTAGTTCAGTTCTAGTCCAGTTCTAGTCCAGTTCTAGTTCTAGTTCAGTTCTAGTTCAGTTCTAGTTAAGTTCTAGTTCAGTTCTAGTTCAGTTCTAGTTCAGTTCTAGTTCAGTTTTAGTTCAGTTCTAGTTCAGTTCTAGTTCAGTTCTAGTTCAGTTCTAGTTCAGTTCTAGTTCAGTTTTAGTCTAGTTCTAGTTCAGTTCTATTTCAGTTCTGGCTCAGTTCTAGTTCAGTTCTAGATCAGTTCAAGTTCAATTCCAGTTCAGTTCTAGTTTAGTTCATTTTAAGTTCAGTTCTAGTTCAGTTTTAGTCTAGTTCTAGTTCTAGTTCAGTTCTAGCTCAGTTCTAGTTCAGTTCTAGTTCGGTTCTAGTTCAGTTCTAGTTCAGTTCTAGTTCAGTTCTAGTTCAGTTCTAGTTCAGTTCTAGTTCAGTTCTAGTTCAGTTCTAGTTCAGTTCTATTTCAGTTCTAGTTCAGTTCTAGTTCAGTTTTAGTCTAGTTCAGTTCTATTTCAGTTCTGGCTCAGTTCTAGTTCAGTTCTAGATCAGTTCTAGTTCAGTTCTAGTTCAATTCCAGTTCAATTCTAGTTTATTTCTAGTTCAGTTCTAGTTCAGTTCGAGTTCAGTTCGAGTTCAGTTCTAGTTCAGTTCTAGTTCAGTTCTAGTTTAGTTCTAGTTCAGTTCTAGTTCAGTTCTAGTTCAGTTCTAGTTCAGTTCTAGTTCAGTTCTAGTTCAGTTCAGTTCTAGTTCAGTTTTAGTCTAGTGCTAGTTCAGTTCTGGCTCAGTTCTAGTTCAGTTCTAGATCAGTTCTAGTTCAGTTCTAGTTCAGTTCTAGTTCTAGTTCAGTTCTAGTTCAGTTCTAGTTCAGTTCTAGTTCAGTTCTAGTTCAGTTCTAGTTAAGTTCTAGTTCAGTTCTAGTTCAGTTCTAGTTCAGTTCTAGTTCAGTTTTAGTTCAGTTTTAGTTCAGTTCTAGTTCAATTCTAGTTCAGTTCTAGTTCAGTTCTAGTTAAGTTCAGTTCTAGTTCAGTTCTAGTTCAGTTTTTCAGTTCTAGTTCAGTTCTAGTTCAGTTCTAGTTCAGTTCTAGTTCAGTTCTAGTTCAGTTCTAGTTCAGTTCTAGTTCAGTTCTAGTTCAGTTCTAGTTCAGTTCTAGTTCAGTTTTAGTCTAGTTCTAGTTCAGTTCTATTTCAGTTCTGGCTCAGTTCTAGTTCAGTTCTAGATCAGTTCAAGTTCAATTCCAGTTCAGTTCTAGTTTAGTTCATTTTAAGTTCAGTTCAGTTCTAGTTCAGTTCTATTTCAGTTCTAGTACAGTTGTAGTTCAGTTCTAGTTCAGTTCTAGTTCAGTTCTAGTTCAGTTCTAGTTCAGTTCTAGTTCAGTTCTAGTTCAGTTCTAGTTCAGTTCTAGTTCAGTTCTAGTTCAGTTCTAGTTCAGTTCTATTTCAGTTCTAGTACAGTTCTAGTTCAGTTCTAGTTCAGTTCTAGTTCACTTCTAGTTCAGTTCTACTTTAATTCTAGTTCAGTTCTAATTCAGATCTATTTCAGATTTACTTTAGTTCTAGTTTAGTTCTTGTACAGTTCTAGTTCAGTTCTAGTTCAGCTCAAATTCAATTCAAATTGTTCTAATTCTGCTGTGTTTTGTCCTAGTTCAACTTTACCTTCTATCGTAGATCGTTTACAAGTACAATTTTAAATAAAATCGTAGTTTAACGAGAACACTTTTATTGCTAATTTATTTAGTTAATAACAAATATACTTTTTATTTATTTTCTAATAATAAAATTTCCAATCTAATTACAAAATGTCAATCATTTTTATTAACTAAAAATATAAATTTGTCTATTAAGTTGCTACCATAGTTCCCCTACAAGCATCTTAACATCTGTTGGCTACCTTGCTATTATTTCATTAAAATCGGTATTTAAACAAACGTTATCGCAAAAATCTATCTCTCACCTTTATATTTATTTTACTAGGTATTTAATTATAAAGAAAGTCAGTTTCGAATTAAGTATTAATTTCCTATCTGGCAGTTTTTCCAAGAATTTGGAAGTAATGAAAAAATTAAATATTAACACGTCTTATCATATAAATAAAAGATGATCAGAAAGAAAACCTATTAGTAAAACATCAGTCGTGTGAATAAGATCGATTTTTTTCCAACATGTTTCGCTTAATTTTAATTGTCTGCTTTGTGGCAGCTCCTGTTTTCGGACATTCTATTGGTGCTCCTACCTCAGTTTGTAAAAATGGTCTAAGTGTCGGTCATCATGCTTTACCACAAACCAGTGAAGCTCCTTATAGCTTTTCTGGTGAAAATTCCGTTAAATCGGGTGAGAAAATTTCTCTTACTTTAAGTGGTGATGATTTCTTGGGTTACGTTTTACAAGCGCAAGATGCTAAAGAAGAACCTGTGGGTACTTTTAAAGTAGTTGAAGCTAATAAATCCCAGCTTTTGAAATGTTCAGCTGAAGGTGTAAGTTACTATTGTTTCCTTAGTTTGTTAGTCAGTTTAAATAGAACACCTTTTTCTTCCTTAAGGACACTTTAACCCATGTTCAATTGGATAAAAAACCTATTACTAGTGTGGAGTTTGAATGGCTGGCCCCAGCTGACTATAAGGGAAATGTTAAATTTGTTGCTACTGTGGTCAAAGATTATGTCACCTTCTGGGAACGTAAAGTAACCAAGGATGTAACCGTAGAATAAATTTACTAAAATATTTGAAAGTTCTTAAATAAAAAACTCTTGAGCAATAAAAAAAAATAAGATAAAACTATGTTCTAATTGAGAAAAGGATCAAACAACGATTTTTTGTATGAAAACCTAAAATTGGCTTTGTAGCGGTAAATTGCAGAAAGAACAATAATCATTTTTATTTTCTATAAAAAGGGAATTCTTTTATTAATAACTAAAAATAACTCTACAGCCCCTAATAGTGACTCAATTTAGAAAAGGACACTAGTTTCTGATTACTTGTATTTTTTATCAAAAACCAATTTTTGTATGAAAAGTTCCCTTATCTCTAGTATTGTAATTAGGTGTTCAAATTTGTTTGCCACTGATAACGTTTGATCTTTCAATAAAGATGTAATTCACACGACTTGGGGATTTCCCAGTCAGCTTAACTGATAATGAAATTATGTTTGTGTCATATTATTGATAACGTTGTATTTATTAAATTTATTTAATAAATACTTAAGTTATATCATCGCCTTGATACTTTTTTCTTTTAATTTCTTTTTACCCCTACTTTTGTAGGTTTGAAATTGGGTTTTAATAGTTTATCGTTATCGTTAACTATATGCGAAATAAATCGAACAATAACACAATACACAATTGCTTTGTAAAAAGCAATAATAAAAAAACATAATTTAAACTCAAATAAACAAAATTAAACTTACTTTTGCAATCTGGTGCGTATAGCCTGTATATAACCATTGCGATAGTAAAACTCTTCCTTGTCACGTGTATACCACTGTCTTAAAGGACGAAGATCATGAAAAGGATTTTTCGCTACCTTAAACAGACGATCAATGTGAACTTTTAAACTTTGTTTTTGAGCAGCATTTTGTAAAGCGGCAAAATCAAATTGTGATTCCTGCTCGGTAAAGGAGGTAAAAACTATGGGTGTATCGAAGGTTTGTAAGATTTCTATGAGCCCAGGAAACCAAGTGTCTTTGGCATTGATATTATTAGTGGGCGGATCCAAAGGTTCCAGTGCATTTAAACTAGTTATGGTGGGTGTTAGGTTGTAGCATTGAGAAAACTCAGAAAAACCACAATTAAATGCTACCATCAGAGAGGGTTTAACCTGATAGTATTTACAATAATCTTGAAAAAGACCATTGAAGATTTTGAAGCGGACGATGCGTTCCTTACCCTTAAAGTTAAGAAATTATAAATAAATTTAATAAACTCTTATAAAGGCCGTACCAGACTTACCAGTAAATTGAATTTTAAACTATTTTCAGCAGGTTCCACTACCTCTGGTCCTATAAATTCCAATACCAGTTCTGAAATTTGTGGATTTTGCAGAAAAAACATTTTACAGTGTATTTCACGAAACCATAAAACCGGCTCTATGCTGGCTCCCAATATAAATATGGTAAATTTTGTTAAATTTGTAAACAACTTATCCAAATGGTTGATAGCATAACAAATAGACATAATACAACTAAAATCCGCAGCCCAGGCAAATAACTGATAATTTTTTAAACTTTTGGTGGGGTCTGAAGGCAATTTTAAGGCAAATACTTTTTCAAAACATTGTAACAGATCCATATCAGCTAATTCAGTTATTTTACAATTTTGAATCAAACACAAGTCCTCTTTGGCCGGCTGGACTTTAAAGGGACAATAGTAAATCTTTAATAAATTACAAAATTTAGCATGCTTTTCTTTGTGCTCCTCTCTATGCTGTTCCGTACAGTAGACCTGGCTGTTACAATCCGGACAAACTATTTTAAGTTGTTTAAACTTGAAACATTGACCACAAAAGACAGGGAAAGAGCTTAACTCTTCCTCTTGAAACTCCAAACTTCTACCCAAGGCATTTTTTAACAAATACTTTAATTGCACTATACATTTTTCTAGTTCCTCTAGAGTTTTTGGTTGTCCATTGATAAGGAATGGATGTTTAATATTTAAATTTTGTTTTATTTTCTGCACCGCTTGACAAAATTCTCCATGAAGTGGCCAGTCTAGCTTTTGATGTTGCCGATTGCAATATCTTATCAATTGACAACCTGAACAACATAATAACTGGCAGAAACTTAAATTATCCTGTGATTTCGAATATTTCCCATCCTCTGGAGTTTGATGACTTTTTAACATTAAACAAATGTTACAATGAAAAGGTGAACACAAATCGTGGGACATGTTAACTAAAAAATGTTTGCAATTTAGTATAATTTTAAGGGGATTGTAGTGAGAACCTTTACCTTAATTGTTTATATTTAATAATTTCATGCAATTTTCGTTAAACAAATAACAAATTTATAATTTACAAATAATAAATTTTGTTTGCAGCGAGTTAATTCTATAAATTCGCCTGATTTTGTTTGTTTACATACTATTGTGAATGATTATTTCCAAATAAATGATATTGCCAGCTTGCTGGGTAATGTTAATATAAAAAAGGTAGCCAACTCAAGGGTTGACTACAAAATGAGAGATTTTTTTAAAAATTGGGAATTTAAGATTTGGGATGCAATTTGTTTTACATCCCATTTTTATGTTTTCATACTTGTTTATTTTCTTTAAGAATTTCCACTTTCCTTTACACAATAACTTCATCTCCCAAAAAGCCTACAAATCCAGATCAGGCAACTCTTCTATCTAAAAAACAGCTGTTGCTTTCAACTACTGTGAATGATAACTTTAATAATTTGTGGTAGTTTACTTCATAACAATATTTTTAACGAAAATGCTTTCTTATTAAAAACTAAATAAAAGAAAATGTGGCGCAATTTATTAAGAAGCTTTGAAAGATCTTTAATTCTCAATTCAAAATCTGTTACTTTACCAAATAAAACACTAAATTCGAGCTATTACCAGAAACAAATCCCGCAAAGATTCCTTCAATGTTCGGCTTTACTACGTAATACCGAAACCGTGTGTGCCGTACCGTCAGGAGGCAGTGAAGGTGATGCTGAATATATAGTACCCTATAGATCGGAATATGAAAAACGGGACAATGCTAAAAAATTGGTAGAAACTTTACGTTCACGATTTCGTCTTAGCGAAGAAGAAGTGGATCATATAATGAGTGATGAGATAGTTTTAAAGACATATCGCCAAAAGTCTTTACGAGATACCATGGAAACTTTGTGTATGGAGGGTGTAACCAAAAAGAATTTTGTAGAGTATCCATGGCTAATAACACTGGAGAAGAGTAAGTTGTAGTTTTGTTGGTATAATCATAATATTGATGGGTGTTTCTTTTAACTTCCAGAAAGATTAAGCGAAAAATTAAAATTGTTGAAATCTCTTAATGGTTTTCGTGATATTAATGATTTTGTGCCTTTTCTGAGACTGCAAGTTCCTAGACTACGTAAATTGGTTTCCGCACTAAATAGGGAATATAACCATGTGACTCACGGCAATCGTGTTTACTTTATAGCTGAACAACTAAATGTTCCTGCCAGTATAGTGACCAAATATTTGGCTAAACGTTTATTTGTTTTAGAAATGCCTTTGGATATGTTTAAAACTAATCTACAGCATATGATTAACTACAAGGTAGAACCTATGAATATATTAAAAGATTTATGGGGTTTTCGTTATGCTCCCCGGGCCGTAGAATTGAGATTGAGAAGAGCTTTACAGGCTAAAAAGGATAAGATAATGCCTTGGATGGTAAGATGTCCCGAGCCCATATTGCAAAAGTCTTTACAATTGTCACTAGATGAACTGGAAGTATTGGGCAATAAAACCTCGGTGGCCGAATATATAGGCGAACGTTTGGGCTTTAGCGCCGAAGAGGCTCAAGCTATTATGGATAAACATCCTCAGGTTAATACGGTGCGCGTTACTAAAATCAAAGAAGTTTTAGATTATCTTTTGGATGAGGCTAAATTTACCCGCTACGAAATAGCTCAAGTGCCACGTATTTTATGTCACAGTTTAGAGACCACTAAACAACGTATGGAAGAATTGAAGAAATTTGGTTGTAGACCCTCCAGTTTGGTTATTGTGTGTCGCAGTAAAAGAGAATATGACAAATTTCTTAAACAATGGCAACAAAGTCATAATCCAAATCGTGCTAGTGAAAGCGAAAGTGCGCAAGAGGATATGGAAAAAGTTTGACTTGATGGAAGAAGTAGTTTGTTGCTGTAGTTTTAATAAAATGTTTAAAATAGATGAAAACAAATTTGGATTTGTTTAAATTTTGATTTTATATGGGAGTGAGTTCAAATTAAAAAGAAATTTTTAACAAAAATTTTATAGAAATTTATCTCCAGACAATTTTTTTAAGAAATCTGTCTTAAGACAAAAACGTTTTTAGAAATTTGATTTCAGACAAAAATTTCAATAGAAGTTCATCTCCGATTGAATTTTTATAAAACATTTTGTTTTTAGACATAATTTTTTATAAGAACTTGTTCTCCAGACAATAAACAACATTAAGGGCGGGTTTCTTACTACTCAGTTAAACTAGGCTTAACTTGCTGTTATATTAAACTCGGAACAAATTTAGACGGACTTTAATCGATGATTGTGTTTTTCAGTTATGGATTTAAGTTCAGTTAACTTTGTTAGTATTGCCAACTTTTCACTCAAAAACATAAACAATGAACAGCTGTTTTTTTGCAAATAATACTTTTGTAAAATGAAAAATTTTGGAAAAATGTTAAATAAACATTTAAAACAATAATAAATAAAACAAAACAAATCAGAAAATTGCAATTTACTTAAAATATTAAGTTTTTGTTCTTCCGAAATCATTGTTTTATTGTTTTTGTTAATTATGTCTTCTCAATTATAACTTAAGTTTAATTGGCCAATAACACTCAGTTAAACTAAGATAATAAGTAACGTTACTGTTTACTGAAAAACACAAAACATATATTAAACTAGGTTTAAACAAAGAATGTAGATTATCTTTATCTGAAAAACCCGCCCTTAATCAGTTAAGTATTACAACAAAATATCGTTTCGATACAATTTTACCTAACAAAAACATAATTGTATGTGGACTTGATTTCAATTTGTTTTACACGAGCTTCAAACTTCTATTTCAATTGACCGGGGATTGCAAGAGCATTTAATAAAAGTTTATGAATGAGACCCTTAGAATATATTCATTAAATAACTCACCTGCTTAGAGATTCCATGGAAATTTTACATATTTTTAAAACAAACAGCCTCAAAGTGGAAAATTTACTTTGTTCAAGATAAATTTTATAAAAATATTGAAACGGATAACTTTTTCTTGTTATAACTATTTAATAATGATATTATTTTTCAAATTTCAAGATTTTTTTTTAATTTTAACAATTTTTTTAGCAAACTTTTATAAAAATAAAAAACACTTTCACTGAATTCCCTCTTTTCATTATTTTCAAACTTTTTACCTCAATAGCAAGAATATCACACTTTTTTCTTCTTTTATTTTAACTAAATTTTCTTAACTGAATACCACTAAAACTAATAAAACCGCCATTTCTTATTGTTTTGTTTACATTTTTTAACGTCATTTCAAGGTAGTCATATTATATTCACAATAGTTATCAAGTAATTGTTACCAGATTTAGAGTAACAGCAAACTTAGCGTTTTTTTCACATGTCCGAAGTATGGCTACTTTTGACACAAAAAAAATAATAAAAATGTAGCAAATTTAAAATATTAAGAAAATTAAGATCAACAAAAACAAGAAATATTTAATGGGGCAGTTTAATTACTGTAACGAAAATGTTAAAACAAGAAATTCGCCTTAAAACTTTGTAATTACCGTTAAACTTTATTATTAAGAATTTTGATTTCCGTTTGATGAGTTTATTTCCTTTTCGGAGCTACCAGACTAAATTTTCTTTAACTATACAATTATTGTGATTGGTAATGAATAACTGTCAAAAATGTAAACATCAGGATAAATAAAAGGCGGTTTTATTAGTTTTTTTCAATACAAAGTGAAAATATTAAGAAAAATTAGGTAAAATTATAAAAGTATAAAAGAAATAGTAAAAATAAGTTTAATTAATATATAAAAGTGATAAATATTAAAAGAAAGCATGTGTTACAAGAATAAAAGTGTCAATTAGAAAGTATTAATAAAATTTCAATAGAAATCAAAAAAATTGTTTAGAAAAAATAAAAAATCTGATAAGAAATTTAAAGAAAATGTTAAGTAATTAGTTTTTTGATAAAAATAATGTGTGTGCGAGTAATAAAAAGAAAATCTTTAAAAGCTTTTCTTTAATATGCAAAAGTGCAAAGAATTATAAAGTTTTTTGTCAATTCTGGTTAAAAATTCCCTAAATTTGCAAAGGAGTCTCAAGCAGGTGAGTTAATTTATAAGTTTGCCATCTAGGTTGTATATTAATCTATTTAATTAACGTTATAAACTGCCGGCAAATAGGTTGTTATTAACTTTTATGTTAATCATTAGAACGGCTTGCTATTTTTCAAAAGTTTGTGGCTAAATTCCTATAGGAATCTTATTTGCTTGAGGAACTTTTAGCTTATTATACTGCCGCTCTCTTCCGGCAAGTGTCAACTGTTATTTTTTATGAAAGGCTTACATTTTAAGATAAATGACTCAATATTCTAAGAATTTTTAAGCAAAAACTTGTAAAGTTTACAAATTTTGATTATGTCCGGCGAAAAACCATATTGTTATTGCAGCTTGGAATGTGTCCTAGAGAATTTATTAAACAAAACTTTGCAGTAATTACTATTTTAGTGGAAATGTTTAATATTTAGTTTTCCGCTTGAGTAAGACTATAAATTAAAGCTTAAGTTTCAATTCTGTCCAAATGTTGATCAGTAGATGGTTTTTAAGGAAAATTCCCATAGAAATTTATAGTCTAGTCGTGTAACAAATTCCTTTTAGACATTTATTGTTTGGAGTTCAATTTCTTTAGAAATATTTGCCTTGAAATTAAATTTCAAATTTGTTACTTCATATCCTATTAAAACACTTTTCTTAAATTGTGATTAAATATTTGTGATTTTTGTTTTTATTTATATATTTTCTTTATATATAGTTTTCTTATTCAATCAATAGAGTTTTTTCATAGAATATAGTGTTTTTTTGTTTAAATATAATAACACCAATTAATGTTTTCAATACAATATAAATTAATAAAACAATTACCAATCTCAACAAACATTTAACATTTCGAATAATAGAGGATATATAAAGTTTTAGCTTTTATAAAGAAATTAAGAATATAATTAAATCTTACCTAAAACTATAATACTTAACTTAAGGAAACGGAAAAACAGGAACTTATAAGGAAAATTTCCAAAAATTTGTGTTTAAAGCAGAAAACTTCTTAATTAATAATAAAAGAAAACAAAAAGGCAGTTTTAGGGGTTTTTTTTTTAAAGAAAATTATAAAATATTTTAATAAATTATGGTTAAAACTAACAAACATGCACCTTTTCTTTTGTAAATATCTCTTTTTTAAAACTTAATATCTAAAATTTGTGCTTTTGGTTATTATTCTTAAAGAAAAATTACCATTTATTAGCTGAGGCCTTCAATAAACAAGCTCTTTTAAGTTCCATACACTTTTAAAACTTTAAATACTAAACATCTTTGGTTTGTTGTTTTTTAATCCTGTTATTTTGTTTTATATAAATATATCTGTATAATATAGAAATTTGAAATAAATATAGACATATTGTACTTTAACTGCACCTTAACTAAACTTGCCAAAAAAGCCTTGTTACACGTTAACTCTATTTTATCTATAATTGTTTCTTTTCTTTCTTTCTTTCTTTCTTTCTATCTTTTCCATCAAAACAACTTAATCTCTTAAAGCTTTACGTCTTTCCCAAGCCACTTGCATGGACCAAATACTTAAAGGTCTCATATAGCCTATAGAACGATAACGTTTTTCACCATAAAAAGCCTCTGGTGTTTCGAAATTCATGCCACATTTTTGCGATATGGTCTCATAGAGGCCTCCTGCAGTTTTGAAACCTTCTTCGAACATGCCTTCCTGTATCATGGTGGCTGCCAAAGCAAATGTTACTCCTGGCCATACTTCCTCGGCTTGAATACTGCTGGTGTCTACATGTCCCGGCTTCTCGGCCTCAGCATTGGCTATAAAACCATTGGCGGCTCCTATAGTGCCGCCATGGAAACCCATTACATTATTATCATAAATACGTTTCAAAGCCGAGCGTACATTTTCCTTCGGATAAATCTGTTGCACAAAAAAACAAAAAAAAAAACATCTTATAAACCCCTTCAATTCAACTCTCACTAACCTCATAATCAAAACCACAGGTTTTCATATACCAATGACCACACAATTGATCCGCCATTATGGTATCCTTGTGACTATTCGAGGTATCAAAACGATAATAACTGCCATTCCATAATTTCTCTTCTAAAGCATGTTTACCCTTCTCTAATATATCCTGATAACGTAAACAATCATTGGGTTGATCCAATAATGTAGACATTACCGACATACTTTGCAAGGCCGCCAACCATAATCCCGAACAATAAGCACTAAATAAAGGTATAATTAATACATTTAATTAAATTTTTTTGTTGTTTGTTTGAATAACTTACCTTGGTCCCTCCATGACCCATGAATCGTAAGTTTGATCGGGCATTTTGGTATTTTCTATTAAACCATCATTATCCTTATCATATTCTATGGTTCTTTCCATTATGGCCTTGCAGGCTGGATACATGGCTTTCAAATAGGTCATGGCATCCATTAGATAGACTTTGCCATTCGTCTCGTTTATATACATGGAGGCGGATTTGCGATTTTCTGAAAAAAAACGGATTTTGTAAATAAAGAACTCTGACTTTTCTACATTTTTTCATAACTATGATCTTTAATCTAGTTTATAGTCTAGCCTAAAGTCTTTTCTATGGACTAGTTTATAGTCTGGTTTATGGACTAGTCTATAGTCTGATTTATGGACAAGTCTATAGTCTAGTCTATAGTCTAGTATATAGTCTAGGCTCTAGTCTGGTCAATATTCTAGTCTATAGTCTAGTCTATAGTCTAGTCTATAGTCTAGTCTATAGTCTAGTCTATAGTCTAGTCTATAGTATAATCTAGTCTATAGTATACTCTAGTCTATAGAATACTCTAGTCTATAGTCCAGTCCAGAGACTCCGTTTGACCAGTCTATAGTCTAAAGTCTGGTCTATAGTCTAGGTCTATAGTCTATAGTCTAGTCTATAGTCTAGTCTATAGTCTAGTCTATAGTCTAGTCTATAGTCTAGTCTATAGTCTGGTCTATAGTCTAGTCTATAGCCTAGTCTATAGTCTAGTCTATAGTCTAGTCTATAGCCTAGTCTATAGTCTAGTCTATAGTCTAGTCTATAGTCTAGTCTATAGTCTAGTCTATAGTCTAGTCTATAGTCTAGTCTATAGTCTAGTCTATAGTCTAGTCTATAGTCTAGTCTATAGTCTAGTCTATAGTCTAGTCTATAGTCTAGTCTATAGTCTAGTCTATAGTCTAGTCTATAGTCTAGTCTATAGTCTAGTCTATAGTCTAGTCTATAGTCTAGTCTATAGTCTAGTCTATAGTCTAGTCTATAGTCAGTCTATAGTCTAGTCTATAGTCTAGTCTATAGTCTAGTCTATAGTCTAGTCTATAGTCTAGTCTATAGTCTAGTCTATAGTCTAGTCTATAGTCTAGTCTATAGTCTAGTCTATAGTCTAGTCTATAGTCTAGTCTATAGTCTAGTCTATAGTCTAGTCCTAGTCTATAGTCTAGTCTATAGTCTAGTCTATAGTCTAGTCTATAGTCTAGTCTATAGTCTAGTCTAGTCTATAGTCTAGTCTATAGTCTAGTCTATAGTCTAGTCTATAGTCTAGTCTATAGTCTAGTCTATAGTCTAGTCTATAGTCTAGTCTATAGTCTAGTCTATAGTATAGTCTATAGTCTAGTCTAGTCTATAGTCTAGTCTATGTAGTCTAGTCTATGTAGTCTAGTCTATGTAGTCTAGTCTATGTAGTCTAGTCTATGTAGTCTAGTCTATGTAGTCTAGTCTATGTAGTCTAGTCTATGTAGTCTAGTCTATGTAGTCTAGTCTATGTAGTCTAGTCTATGTAGTCTAGTCTATGTAGTCTAGTCTATGTAGTCTAGTCTATGTAGTCTAGTCTATGTAGTCTAGTCTATGTAGTCTAGTCTATGTAGTCTAGTCTATGTAGTCTAGTCTATGTAGTCTAGTCTATGTAGTCTAGTCTATGTAGTCTAGTCTATGTAGTCTAGTCTATGTAGTCTAGTCTATAGTCTAGTCTATAGTCTATAGTCTAGTCTATAGTCTAGTCTATAGTCTAGTCTAGTCTAGTCTATAGTCTAGTCTATAGTCTAGTCTAGTCTAGTCTATAGTCTAGTCTATAGTCTAGTCTATAGTCTAGTCTATAGTCTAGTCTATAGTCTAGTCTATAGTCTAGTCTATAGTCTAGTCTATAGTCTAGTCTATAGTCTAGTCTATAGTCTAGTCTATAGTCTAGTCTATAGTCTAGTCTATAGTCTAGTCTATAGTCTAGTCTATAGTCTAGTCTATAGTCTAGTCTATAGTCTAGTCTATAGTCTAGTCTATAGTCTAGTCTATAGTCTAGTCTATAGTCTAGTCTATAGTCTAGTCTATAGTCTAGTCTATAGTCTAGTCTATAGTCTAGTCTATAGTCTAGTCTATAGTTTAGTCTATAGTCTAGTCTATAGTCTAGTCTATAGTCTAGTCTATAGTCTAGTCTAGTCTATAGTCTAGTCTATAGTCTAGTATATAGTGTAATGTCTAGTCTATAGTATAGTCAAGAGTCTAGTCTATAGTAAGTCAAGTTTATAGTTCAAGTCTCTCCTCCCACCTTACCCTTCTTATCCTCCACCGAATTCTTGCGCTTATTATCCTGTGAATACATCTCATACAAACTCTCCTTATCGATAAATTCAATCGAACTAAATTTACTAGCATTATCCGCTTGAGCCTGAGCCAATTCATTTAAAACATAATAGTCTCTATAGACCTGGAGGACAAATTTCGTATTTAGATCTTTCCAATCGTTGACATCGTGTATATTATAACAATTGATTAAAGTAAAGGGTTCCTCATCGGGATCACCCAAATCATGGGGTACACAATTTTTGACCTTACGCGGCATTATTTTGCCATCGTAAAGCATTTTACGTGTATCGGTAAGATTGGCTGCAATGGCATCCTTGAAATCGTACTGTAAACTGACCTGTAAGAAAGAAAGAGAGAGTAAGTTTTAAGATTTTAAGAAGTTTGTGTGGGCTTACCTGTAAATTAGGCCATAAATGGGCTAGAGCGGGTGAGGCATAGAAATGCACATCATAGGTGTTATACATACGATACTCATGACCCTCTAAATAACCAAAACGACCATAGGCATGTCTTAAATTGTGAGAAGATTAATTTGTGGGCATAGTTAAGCTTTTTTTGTTAATTACCTGGGATCATTGTTGTCCAATTCTTGACCCAAAGAGGAATCACACAGTAGCCATAGAGAACCACCGTCGGAAATAAAATAAAGCTGATTAAATATGGCACATTTATACCAATCCGGTAGACCTCTTTAGGAAAGAAAAGATTTATTAATGATTTCTTATTTAAGAAGAAAAAGCTTTAAGCTTACTCATCATTTAGTATGGGCTTTTGCCAATTATCTATAGCTTTCTCCCAGCTGGAGTAGTGTTTCAAAGCATATTCACAAATCTTGGGACCCGAATCCCCGCAAGCATTAAAATATTTGGTATAATAGCGTGTATGAGCCTTAAGCTTTTTGGGAAAGTGTATAATGGGCATATCCCAGCACAAAACAAACTCCAAATCATGAGAAGATTTTGGCTTAACCGATACTCTAGCACAAATAGCCACGCCCACATCTTTGGCTGGAAGAGAAAGGAAAAACATTAAGCTTTTTATGGAAAAGTTTAAGTTAAACACTTACTCTTCAAAGTTTCATCAGCTGAGTCCTCATTTAATTGTCCCTGATCCTTTAACTGCTGCCACAATTGTTCTCCCGAGCCGCTGGGATCAAATTGCAAACATCGCGTGATATTAATTTCGGGCAAAACACGACAAGCCAAATTATAACTACAGGGCATTTCATTGATCTTTTGATTGATCGTTACACCTTTGGCATTACCCTCCGAAAAGAGTTCAGAAGAGGCTGAGCCCTCAGCATCTTGTTTCTTATTACCCGTGCCATTCTTAAAGGTAAAAGTTATAGAAACTGTACGCTCCTCTTCGCAAACATTCTCCACCGACCACACAAATACCGCACAAGGTAAAGAAGAATCCTTATAATCATGTGGTATTACCGGACTAATCTGACGACATACTAAACGTACACCATATTCGGAGAGATCATATTCAGTCCAGGCTCTGGGGTAGAGGCCTGTATAGAAACATTTGCCATCATCTAATTGTGACTGCCAGGCAGCCAAGGGCTGCTTGTTGCGATTATTACTGCAATTGGGTAAACGACATTTAACAAATTTATAATTTGGACTAAAGTTACCGAAAAGAAGATCAGAATAAATTAAAAGTTTTTAAACAAACCCCAAACCAATATTTTCAAAAAAGCCAGTTTTTCCCCAGTAATCCAATTAAAGTCCCAGGTTTTTCAATTGTTTAAAATTAAACAATTTGCAAATTATATTAAAGATTTGTTGTAAAGTGATAAAACAGTGGTAGGCAAAAGAAAAGAAATAGAAAATTATAAAGAAAATTATATCATAAGTTTAAAATAAAGCTTTTATAACTTAAATCTTAAGTTAAGACACCCATTAAGTTTAGGCTCCCGATTATTTAGTTAGAACACCAACCATTTAGCAGTTTATAGTTATAGTTTAGTAGGAGTGGCATTTTGATGGAAAAGGGAAGTTGATTTTTAGCTTTTATTAGTTATTATACAGTAAACAATACAATTTACTTTATTAGTTATAGAAAAATTAATTATTTTGGACATGCAATTCAAGGGGGTTTTGAGTTTAGAGTTGATAGTTTAGTTAGTTTATGATATTACTTCCACATCTAGATGTTTTCAATTAAATGAGTAGAATTTTTATGAAAGTCACAAGTGATTTGTTTAAATGATTAAAAACTGTATCGGAAACAACCTTAGGGATCTAAGCAAGGTCACTACTTCTATACTTTCGATAATGATTTTCGAAAATTTTTCACTATAATTAATTTAACGCTTTGAAAAGGTTTAAAAATGTTATACAAAGTAAGACGAACATTAATTTTTAAGTTTTAGTTCGGTAGGGTCTTGAGAATCAACCTCGAGAGAAATGCTAAAACTGTATCACTTCCAATTTCCTTAAATTCCATTTGGTCTGAAACTGTATTCTTGTAATGATTACAAAAACCGGCTTGATGTCAGCCAAAGGAACATTACTTGATATCCCTCCTCTACGTCATCAGTATAAATTGGACCTATTGGACCTGTTAGATTATATATTAGTTCCAGATCGCATGTCATAAAACAGAAACGGTCGCAAATTGTTGTTACATGGATGGCTCGAAGCTGGGCTTCCAAACGGGTTTGGCGATCTACATTGACAGTTGAGCGGCTTTGACGACTTGACCAAAGCCTATTGCAGGACACTTCTTCATATATGTATAATGGTTATGTTAGAAGGTTATACAACCACCAGAGATTGTGAGACTGTGATCCTAGATATGAGTTTTTGGTGAAGCGGAACATGAGAGCAAACACCTGCGTAATTGAGGTCTCTTGATATCCCTCCTCTACGTCATCAGTATATATTGGACCTATTGGATCTGTTAGATTATATATTAGTTCCAGATCGCATGCCATAAAACAGAAATGGTCGCAAATTGTTTTACATGGATGACTCGAAGCTGGGCTTCCAAACGGGTATGGAGATCTACATTGACAGTTGAGCGGCTTTTACGACTTGACCAAAGCTGATTGCAGGACACTTCTTCATATATGTATAATGGTTATGTTAGAAAGTTATACAACCACCAGAGATTGTGAGACTGTGATCCTAGATATGAGTTCTTGGTGAAGCGGAACATTAGAGCAAATACCTGCGAGATCGAGGTCTCTCAACTGTAAGGAAGTTATCCAAATAGGAGATCGATGTTAAATGACTGCGGAAATCTTTTGTTAAACGGATGATTTTAAACTGGGAAACAAGGCGTGCCTGGAGATCTACAATGAAAACTCGGAACTCTAAATATACTGCTGGCTGGCTACCTTCAAAATAATAGCTTCCACTGGGAAGGTTTAAAATTCATTGAATATGGCGACAGATTAGGTTACAGAGGCAGTTAATTTACCCGCTGTGATACCTGGACGGATTATATCTCAACCTAACGATCACACATCTATGTTTCTATGGTATGTAACGTGGCAAACCAACCTGTGGCACAAATATAGGAATCTATCTATTGAATTACAACTTCGAAGTCAGAGAGATCCGCTAATTCATGCAAATAAGTGTGGTTCATGGTGGCCAATCTCGAACAAAGCAGAAGAACACCGAAAAAGAAAGTGTTCATTTATTTTTTCTTTATCCTCATTGTTACAACTTCTGCAGGAATTATTAAATGGAGGAATCAATCTTCTAGCAAGCGCACCTACTTACCAGTGACTTGTCATCACTGCTGTCAGTGGCCTTAGTCGCACACTTGAAAGTCCTATTAGTGACAACTATCCACCTGACGAACAATTAGACGTTGTTCACCATCTGATCGGAGCAGACTTGTTACTGCTGAAAAGCTGTGTTACAGCATGAGAAGCAGACGGACACAAATAAAGAAAGTGTTCATTTATTTTCTCTTCATTCTCATTGTTGCAACTTCTGCAGGAATCATTAAATGAAAGATTCAATCTCCTAGCAAGCGCACCTACTAACCAGTGACTTCTAATCGCGGTTGTCAGTAGCCTTAGCCGCACATTTGAAAGCCCTATTAGCGACAACTATCTAGCTGACGAACAGTTAGACGTTGTTCACCATCTGATCGGAGCAGACTAGTGCATATGTTACTGTATAAGAGTTTTGCAGTATGAGAACAGAACTCTCACTAGAGCATCAATGTTCCTTTCATAGAAATGTGAACCACTTCTAGCCAGTTCGTCTGCAATTAATTACATTTCCAAGTATGTTTATACGTGTGTCCCGGCATCCAGAAAAGCTCCAGGTACGAATGTTGCGCAGTCTTTGTTAAGAAACATACAACATTCTGGAACCAATCTAGATGTCATGCAGATACTAGATAAAGGTTTTTATCGTTAGTATAAATTCGGAAATTTCATCAAATTTAACTCCAGTTTAATGACCGATATCTAAGCCTGGAGAACGCTGCATTTATTAGACAGCTTCAAGCATATTAAATATGGAAGACTCTCCTACAACCTTCTTCTATTTAGATCCTTCTGTTAATCTTTTATCAGGGAGTAGTGTTGTAAATGTTATGGGAAATATAGTCCCAGTACGTCTAAATACAATACAGGACGAACGGATTCAGACGTTGATACAATCGTTGAAACAATTCTCTGTCATTAACAGGTTTCGTGGCAAAGAAGGAAGAGATGTCAACAAGAGTAAATTTTTGATATAATTGGTGGGATAATATGATATAGTTGATCATATGCTCCTGTAAAAAGACTCTCTCTACTCTGGGGTTTGGAATTCGAAAGAAGTGAGATAGAGTCTCTTTACAACTTGACTTCTAGTTGATCGTATGCTCCGTTTTAAAATGTTATTCGGAGGTGAGGAGAAAGAGGCTTAAGGTAGATGGAAAAAACAACAACAGAACATAATGGCTGAGTTAAAATTGTACAACTGATTAGGAGCTTTAGGATATGGAATCTTCTTATCCAAAAGTGCAGTATCCAAGGGATACAAATG